TGCCCCGGAGGGGACCACATGGCGTGGCAGACCTCTCCTGACCCGCCTGCTGCTCCCCTCAGCAGTGTACTTGGTCGATCTGCCTGTTCTGCTACCCTCTCTGTCTCTGGTGAATCCTCTCACCCACCACATCTCTGGCTTGTACCCCAGTTCTGTATGAATAAATAAATAATTTAAAAAAAATAAAAAAATAAAGCAGCCACAAATAACCAAGAGAGACTGGCTGAGATGGCCTTTAGAAAGAAAGAGGAGGAGACTGTGTTCATGCTGCCTTCCCATGTCCATTTCCAGTTTTATCAAAGGTCAGGGGACGCTGGCCTCTGAGTCCTAAGCGGAGTCAATTGTTCCTCATCTCCATGGCAGACTCTAGAAAGGGCTCCGTGGGGTGCCGCTGTGTCTGTGAGATGGTCTCAGGGCTGCCCTGGGGGGCGGGGAGGCCTGCAGTGCCCTCCCACACCCTGGGGGGCCAGGCCTGGCACATACCAGCACGTTAACGGTGCAGCTCATGCGGTTTTCCTTGCTCTCGTCGTGCATGATGATGGTCCTGTAGTCCAGGAGATTCTCCAGGAGGCTGCTGACCAGGAGCACGAAGATTTCTCCGGAAGTGGACAGGTATTTGTGTTTCCGGCAGTGTTCCAGGAGCCTGCAGAGGCAGAGGCAAGTGCCCATCTGTCACATACGTCATTCCAGACTGGAGCCCTTGAGGTCTACACAGCAGAGAGAATCTGAGCAGGGACACGCAGACTCCAGATAACACCATCCTCCCAGGGCCTTCACTTCTGTTGCATTTCAGCGACTCAAATTCTACATTTTCTTTGGGCACAAATGCACCTTCTCTAGGATCCCAGAGCACAGTATCCTTCTTGGACCTTCTACCTGTATCTATGTTTTGCCAATACTACAGAAACAAAAAGGCTTGTGTCTGCTATCTGCCTACTCAAGCTAAAGGAGACAATTTTCCCCATATCCTTTTTCTACCTAAGGCCTGCACTGCTGGGCAGCCTGAGGTCATTCTGGAGAACCTGGGACTGGTGCCCAGCTAAGAGGAACTTAGTAAGCATTCAGACATCAGTTCCTCAGATAAATATATTACTTTTAGGAAAGACATGCTTGTAAGTAAGTTATTAATCAGTGTTGACTGCTCTGTCACATGCTTGTAAATAAATTAGCCCAAGACTAACTTTTGGACTAAATTCATCCCCTCAGTCACACACCGAATAAAGATTCTACACTGTCCTCTTAATTCAAATAACTGGAAGAAGACTTGGGAAATAGGAAAGGGAAAAGAAATGGGTCCAAGGATTTAGTCCAGTCTAGGATAAGTCCTGGGCACTGGATTTATGTATATTTCTCTCAGTGAGTGGATCCAGGAGGGATGAAGCAAACAGTATCAGATTTTTATATCAACAATTAACTGTAAAATTTGTAAATATCGTCTGTCATGTCTCCATTTAAATCCGACTCCCTCCCAACAGGCAGGTAACAAAACAATCAGCACATACTCAGCAGACGATAGGTGGGTCAGTATCATAAAATCTGAGAACACAACAATGAATCGTTCCGAACAGTCAAGAGAGCCAACCCTGGGTGATGGCATGATTTATAGGTAATAATCACCAAGAGTAACAAGCATGAACCCCAGAGCAGTGAATAGTGATTCACCAGGAGCCCTGATACAGACGCTATGTCCTCATTTAACCTCGCCGCTGAGGTTAACCAGCACTGAGATTCCATTTTGGTAGGTGAAAAAAGAGCTGTTAGGTCAACTCATAGTCCAAAATCAAACTTCTAGTGTGCAGAGAAATAGGACTTGAAGTTCAATCCCTCTCTAACCCCAACACCCAAGTGTCTTTAACCCACTGTTTATATTTGAAACCACTCTTTTGTAATTCCAGATGTTCTAGGGGAATTAGGAGGCACGGGGGTGCAGGGTGAATATCTGAGTGTGGGTGGGGAGCAGGGCTGATAATGTGAGCACAGAGAATATGTTAGGGAGGAGGGGCGCAGCAGGTCAGAGCAGTGAAAAGATCAAAAATCAACCTGGCTGGGGATGTACCCTTGTTCTCGGAATTCCTTACGAGGCATACAGTATTTTGAAATGTAAAGTGGACCTTGAAACCTTTTTTTTCTTTTCCTTTAAATTGTTGCTTTGAAGCCATAATTAGAGGTGTGAGCACTTTTGCTGAAGTCGAGCCATTCACAGACTGGGCATAGTGCCACTATTCTACACACATTCTCTCCCCTCCATCTGCTCTGCTTTCCCGGGCTGGGCTGGCCTGGGAATCAGCACATCTGATAAACCTGCACTAGCAGTAAGATGGTGAAAACTCTGTGACCCCTCTGCTGGTTTGTACAGTGACTCTGGTGATTCTGGACCACTGGGCTGGACTATGATACTGCAGAAGCCTGATTTTCCCCATCACTAAATGGCACAATCAGTGTGATATTTGGATTCTGAAATACTCACAGTTTTTCCAGAAGGACCTTGTATTGTTCATCTCCTCTTCCCCCTTCTACTTCTTGGTCCAGCTTTGTGATCAACTCATTCTCAAACTGAAAGCAGAGTGAAAATTTCAAAGGAGAATAACATATCCTTCAAGGAGGACATGAGCGATACCCTCCAACCTTTTAGATTCAGTTCAATTCCTTTACTGAATTGTTAACTGTTTCCCAAAATACACAGAAGATCACACTTTCCATGATCCATCAGTTGTGCCCAAGGTCCTACTGAAACTTTCTAAACCAGTCTTTGTTGTTTGATTCACATTTTCAGGGAAAAAAAAAAAAAAATATATATATATATATATATATATCTCAAATATCTCAAATGACTAATTCGCAATTTAATATCATTTAATGTCAATGAAAAGAAGATGAAATGGATAAACTTCCTGAAGGGAGAAGAGTAAGAAACATTCTGGCTGCTGTTAGCCAGAGATTTAAAACATACCAAACGTTAATGAAAAGGAAGGTACATGAGGTATAATTCCCACAGCAATGTGGATGGTATCTAGAAACTATGCTGACTCAATTTACTCATAATTATATTTAAGAAACATAATGTATGAAAATTATTTTCCTGTCTCAACTCTGCATACAAACACAATTTAAGGATTCTAATATTCTATTTTATTTTTGGACTGGCTCTTGGCATTAGAATTGCATTTGCAGAGCTTCAAAACAGCAAAACTCTCCCCATCAGGAATGATATGCTGTATAGGCAAGAAAACTAAGGGACAGACAAGACTTACCAGACAAACTGGGGTCTTAAAACTAGAAATCTCTGCATCATTCCCTGAGCTATACTATAGGTTGTTCCTCAATCCACATTACTCTCTCAGCTATACTGTGACAGAGGACTGCAAGGCCTAATATCAAATTTTAACCATTCAGAGACAGGCTATTGCTGTAGGAAACATGTCCAGTAAAAAAGATGGCTTGCAAGTCAGGCAGGAATATCTGACCCTACCTCTTATTGCTTTACAAAATCAAAATCAACAAGAATTTCAAGGCCTATGCCAATTTGTATTATTCGGGCAACTGCTTCTTTAAAGAAAGAAAATAAGTAAGAGTGGACTATATGTGCATTAGTAACATTACAGATCTGTCATTCTTACCATGTGGAAATTGCCATTTCCACTGAAATTGAACTCACACTGCATCATATCAAAAAAAATGGGAATGGTGGCTTTCCGCAGCTCGACTTCAGGGGTCAGTGTGACCTCCAAAATGTATCCCACCATGGATGGGATGAATTTCATCTTGTGGGGACCTGAAATGAAAATAAATACAATAGTAAGAGCTAATTTCACTGGAAGTGAAAGGTTACAAGACTCCTCCACAGAGCCCATAAGAAAAGAAAAAATGTTTATGTGGGTAAATTAACTCAATTCAAATGTGAGTTAAATATGGTATTCTGAAAACATGTGGGCGTCCTAATATAGAGACAGTTCATTGGCAAAGTTCCAGTAGAGATGAGGTGTGAAACCTCAGTCAGATTTCACTTTCAGACTCAGAGACAGGATTCCTGGAATAAAAATGAAGAATCTGGGCCCTCCCTGGTGGTGCAATGAGTTAAAGCACAGCATTATGAAGCTATCTGCAACCACTGCAGCACAAGTTCAATCCCGGGTCAGGGAGGTGACCCACATGGCGCAGCAGACCTCCCCTGACCGCCCCCCCACTGCTCCCTTCATCAGTGTACTTCATCTATCTGCCTGTTCTGCCCCTGGTGAATCCTTTCACCTCCCCCTGCACTTCTGACCTGTACCCAGTTCTTGTATGCATAAAAATAAAGCTTTAAGAAAATTAACAAGGAATCTACAGGAGCTGTAGCGGGTGCATCTAAGCTCAATACTCACCCAGGTTATACCACATGTCCCGGATTCTAAAGCCAATTTCCTTTCTCATGTCTCCATATCTAGGAAGATCATAAACCAAAAAAACCCAATTGCAGTGGAATCAGGTACATATAATCAAAAGATAAGAAGACTAAAAAGTCCTTATTCCTCTAGATCCTTTTTAAGACAAGTTTTGAAGAAAGGTCACCTTAAGAAATTAGGTAAAAAGAAGATGCTAAATGTTATTTAACCCTAACATATCGTTACCACTCCATCATAAATAAGAAAAGTGAGAATCTAATAAAAAGGACAGCTTACCAAAAAGGAAAAAAAAAAAAAAGTGGGGGTAACTGAGGTTAATACCTAAACAAACCTTGCCTCCCCCATGCTGAGAAAACCCAGTCACAAGGAGGGGAGGGGACTTGAAAAGCCTAAGGGCTGAGTGCAAGATGAAAGCATAGACTCTTTGAGAGGGCAAGGTGAGAAAACTCTGGTTGCTGCTAAACAAACAGGAAAGACCAGCAACAAGGAGGCAAGTACTGGTCAAGCCCGGTAGTGACAAGACTGATGACCAACAACTAGCCGATTTTATCCCCTTACAGCCAGGGGAAGCAGGAGACTACAGAATCTCAATGTAGGGGGGGACACTGTCCCCAGGGGGTGAAAATTAGTCCATGGGGTAGAACATAGTTTACTGTTATTATATATAACGCACAAACAGAAGGTATATCTGGCATATTAATACATTATGGGGGATGTGATTAGAAAAATATTCTACAAAGGTTCCTTACAGCAGCTGATACGGAAAAAGAAACAAGCAGAGGCACATAGAACCAGACTGTGTCTTGGGTGGCGGTGAACCAGAATCACCTGGAAATTCCTTAAGGATACATACAAGGGCTTCTGCTACTTGTCATGAGTCACTTAGAAGCTTGGAGAGGTGGAAATAGGTGGATCAAAGTCGATACTGAACGTGTCCAGGGAACCATTTCTAATGGCCCATGGCAGACCCCTCCTGTAACGGAGCTGACAGAAGTTTTACACATGCACCCAACAGTTTTTTCAAAATATCCCTTTGGAAATGCCTTCAGAAATAAGTAAGTAAGTGAATGAGTGAGTGAGTAAGTGAGTGAGTGAGTGAGTGAGTAAATGAGTGAGTGAGTAAATTAATAAATAAATAAAATATTTCTTAAATATTTAAATACTTAAATATTTCTCCTAATATTCCATTTTAACAAAAATGCCTCAAATTGGGCCTCCTTGGTGGCCTAGGGATTATGTCTCAGCACCATCAACTCTATGGCCTGAGTTCAATCCCTGGCCAGAGAGGTGACCCACATGGCAAAGCAGACCTCTCCTATCTCACCTGCTGCTCCCTTCAGCAGTGTATTCAGACGATCCACCTGTTCTGTTGCCCTTTCTATCTCTCGTAAATCCTCTCACCCTCCCCTCAGCCCCTCTGGCCTGCACCCCAACTCTTGTATGCATAAATAAATAAATCTTTCAAAAAATGCCTACACTGACTGTAAGAGATACAGATTTCATGGACTCCACCTCCACTACAGTACTGGACTACAAATCCCATCAATACCAAGGAGAAGCACGCTGGGACGTGAAGGCGGAGCTGAGCAGCCAGGTTAGGATAAAACCGAACATGGGGCTTAGGGACTCTCTTGGCCTGGTGGTCATTTGGCTCTCGATTGGTTTTCAGCGTGCTGGTGGAGTCCAAGTAAGCAGAACTGGCAGACAGTCTAGTTAACTTGTATTTCTTTTTTCCCCCGTGGGGTGTTCCTTTACCTTTCTCCTTGTAAATAAACCCATTATCAAATCTTTTTGCGTGTGTCTGCAGTATGACTGAATTATAAGCGCACGGGTATGACTGAATTATAAGCGCACGGGTGAGGACCCACAGATAGGCAACACAATTCACATTGGGGTGCCCTGTAACATGACCTCACTGTTGAGATTATGTTACATATACAGTCAATGTTGGGCACATAACAGATCATACATGATCTCTAATGGCCTATGTCAGACCCATTCTGTAATCTAGCTGACAGAAGTCAATTTTATTTACTGATGCTACTGTTCATGCTGCTTCTACTGAAATTAAGAGAGGTCTTGAAAAAACATCCATTCACATTTCAGTAACTTTCATATAATTGGTTTTTATTTCTCAACACATATTCTAACCCATATAAATATATATTTTTGCATGAACTGTATCTACAGTTAACTTTTATTTGACCAAATCCCAAACCATGAATGCAACTAGTTACTTATCAGAATTCATGTGAACTAATTTGTGGGTTTAACTAAAATCAAATCTGCCCTTTTGTCTGTTCAACCAAAACAAATCTATTCTTTAAAGAAATGATATACTTGTGGGGAAATTTTAAGAGATTCTAAAGAATGAGATCAAGGTATCCATCTTAGAAATAAATTATTTCTCAATTCTCACACCCCTCAAGTAAATCTTTAAAAAAACGTTTTGCTTTTACCTTTGAAAGAGCACAGTCACTAAATCTCAATCTCTTAGCCACCAAATTTCAGTGTTTTAGGGAGGAGATAGAAGTAGTGGTATCCAAAATACTTTGTATAGTATCCCAGAAATGATGTATTTGTGGGGAAAATTTTAAGATATTCTAAAGAATGAGATCAAGGTATCCATCTTAAAAATAAATTATTTCTCAATTCCCACACCCCTCAAGTAAATCTTTAAAAAAACATGTTTTGCTTTTATCTTTGAAAGCACAGTCACTAAATTTCAGTCTCTCAGCCACCAAATTTCAGTATTTTAGGGAGGAGATAGTAGTAGTGGTATCCAAAATACTTTGCATAGTATCCAAGACATTCCAGTAAGGGGAGCAGAACTAAAATTTCACAGCCTTTAATAATAAATTTCTGAGTTTGTTGTTGTTTTTTAACTCCATGGCTTATCTTATTTTAAGTACACACTGTAATTTTAACTACATAGTCTTTGAATTTCCAGGCTCTCAATGAACTTGGAAACAGACCTGAGATGAAAGCAATGAAAAGCTTCCCTAAATCTTTCATCACTCTTGCATATACATCCATTATGAATTCCAGGGCTCTGGAGGGCATTCTTCAGGGATGTGTTAGTTTTGGCTTCTCTACAGAAATGACTGAGATAGAGCCCTGCATCAAAGCAGAGAGAGGCAGCGGATCTGCAATTTGGATAAGGGGCCAATTTGGATGGGGGGCTCTCTGACATGGGAGTCCTGCTAGCCTCTCCCCCTCTCCAGGTACAAATCCCATAAAATAGGTGGCTGATGAGAAAATGAATGGCCTGTTTGAATGAACTGCTTGAGAAAAGAGATGTGACTCTGGGGAAATCTGAGGTCTATTAAATAATCATTTAAACCCTATCTCATTCACAACAGGGGTCATCCTGGAACAGCTATGTCCATGAAACCCCAATACCTACTCTGAATAAATTGGAAGAATCACCTTCCCTATCTTAAGCAAACAGAAGAGGACACTTACTTTTTAACAATTTTGTTGCGCTTGGCTTGTGAGAAGGTTTCAAGCTGGAGGGATTCATGGGTGAGAAATGCGACTGCCAAATGGAAGTAATTGTTCCAGAGCTGTTCAAAATGCATTGTGTGGGTGAAAAGAGATGGAAAATCACATGAATGAGGACCACAGTAAACCAGGGCCACATGGCAGGAAGTCACTCCCCAGGGATAAATAAAATACCATCCAGAAAACTTCTCTTTCTTTCCTGTTTCAATTACTCATTCCCCAAAGTTTTGATACTTAATACTAACATTAAGCATTTAAAGAAATCCAAACTATTCTATTTATCTTTACTTCTGGAATAAATGACACAGTTGCCGAGAAGTGTACCTATTTATAGAAGGAAGTTTGGCAATACATATCTGCCCGAAAGTCTGCCCAACTTTCGAAATAGTAAATACTTTACGACTTTATCCTGGCAAAATCATCATGGGTATGTAAAAATATTTGAGGCAAGGCAGGCCTTCACAGTGTTATTTAACATAACAGAAAAATGGAAACAATATAAATGTTCCTAAGATTTTGGTGAAACTAATCATGGCCAACAATATAACAGGTTGTATTCAGTCATTGAAAATATTATGAAGGCGCGGCAGACCTCTCCTGACCCGCCTGCTGCTGCCCTCAGCACTGTACTTCGTCGATCTGCCTGTTCTGCTCCCTACTCTGTCCCTGGCGGGGACCTCTCATGGGCCCTGCACTTCTGGCTTGTATCCCAGTTCTGCATGCATAAATAAAAAATAAATCTTTAAAAAAATAAAATGAAAATATTTAACATCACCGAAAAGATCAGCAAAAAAGTAAGTAAATTTAGAGCTTATCAAGGAACTCTACAGTCTGAGTCCACTTTGACACAGACAAATATGGGTGTGCATATATCTACCAATCTGCATTACGCACGCACATATTTACATATACATCTTCCTGTATGTGCTTATAGGTATATTTAATCTCTCATGACCTTCCATTTTGAACATGATGAAATCTGTGATGATTTTTTTAAAAACAAAACAATTCTCATTCTTTGGCTGAGAACTCAAGAACTCCTTGGCGAGTCACAGCTTACCTGAAGTTCAAAGCTTTTCTGATCCATAAAGCGTCTGGTGAGAACGTCGGCAAATTGGTTGATAGCACGGAGGAAAGCCCTGGAGATGGAAAACGCTGGGTAAAGATGGAGGCTTGATGCTCTTCAAGAAATTTCCCATATATGTTAAACAATAAGCTAAATCAATTCTGGATTTAGGACTTCTGATTTCCCCTTAGAGACCCAGGATGGAACACGGCCACAGAGAAGGCCGCTGAAGGTCAGTTTTAGAATGGACTTCAAGAGCCACTCAGGGCTGCATTTACATTTAGGACAGAAGGAGCCAACGCAGTAAGTCTTCTGAGCCTGGGCCCAGAGCAAATGTGTACTTCTTCCTGGTGCTTCTCTTAAAGTCCAGGACTTCTGATGCATTTTTCCCCTTAGTCTGTACATAGTCGAGAAGGGGTTTTTCTAATCAGGTAGAAATCAAAATCAACAATGATGTTCCTAATAAAATTGATTTTTTTTATTTAACTCCTTAAAACATTTCAAGCACTTTTAATATAATTTTTAAACTATTCCAATGTTTGTTTCAGTTTTTTCCATCCCACATGTATTTGTTGGGGGTGAGCAACTGTGGACACTGGCTCAGGTTTTGACTAGAAAGACAAGCTTCCTGATCTTAAGCAGTTTACAACTTGGTAGGGACCATCCCAAGACCCAAGCAAGTATTTGGAAGATTCAGTGAGGGGTCTGTAAGGGTAAAAATGAAAGGCAGAGAAGCTGTCAGGCCAGAATGCATTCCTTTGGAGAGGACACTGGAGAAGGAGCTCATGGAATGGTTGGGTGGCCTGTCAATGACCAGAGATCATGGTGAAGATACTGCGAATCAGCATGAAGAATTGAACATGCAGGACAGTACAGGGACTGGAAAGAGGCCAGCTGGGCTGGGCCTCTGGATAACCTTCCCCCTCTGGGTAAGTTACCCAGAGGGGGAAATAGTGACGATAAGGCCAGGTAGAGCTGGGGGCCAGACTTCAGAGGCCTTGCACGCCAGGCTGAGGGAGGCAATCTGGAGCCACTGAAAGGGACCACTGCTGAGCTGTTGCTGACAATCACTATGAGCACAATGAGGAGAGTAAGCAGAGAGATGGGAGGAGAAAGCAACAGATGGAGGAATGGCAGGGGCCCAGGTGAAGTCGGGACAGGATCACATAAGCTGGGGTGGTGGAAGAAGAAAGATCCTGACTTTCAGAGAGTAGATGTGGGTCAAAGGGATCAACAGCTAGTCAGAGGTCAGACAGTGGGACCAGACCCACGCAGGCTGAGGCTCAGGCCCGCCACGGGCATCTCACCTGTTCTGCGTCATATTCATGACCATCCAATCCTTGGCATAGACATGCTTCCCAATCAGATCCTTAAACATGATAAACGTTTCCATGAGGAAGTCCTGCAGGAACAGACGGGGATGGTCGGCGGATACTGGATTACATGCATCAGCCTCTCCCTAGCACATTTATAAGAAGCACCACGCCATCGGTCCCACAAAGCCACCATTCTCCCTAAGGACTTAGGGAAAACAAAGCATCCTACTGCCACCGTGCCCTTGATTCTTACATCATACAAGCTGGTAAAGGAGGCAGGGACAAAAAAAAATTACAGCTTACGCGTGATACAACTGAGTTGTGAAAAATTAAATGACTTGCTAATGGTCATAGAAAGCAGGAAGCAGGAGAGTTAGGAAGACAACCTGGGGCTCCAAGTTAGAGGATATTACCTTTAGTTTTGTGCTGCCCATCATTCGAGCAGACCTGTCACAATGAATTCACCGGGTCTTCCCTGGTGGTGCAACTGGTTCAAGTGTAGCACTGTGGGGCTATCGCAGCCACTGTGGCAAGGTGCGTTCCCCAGCCAGGGAGGTGACCCACAGGGGGCAGCAGACCTCTCCTGACCCGCCTGCCCCTGCCCTCAGCAGTGTATTTCAGTTGATCTGCCTGTTCTGCTCCCCACTCTCTGAATCCTCTCACCCCCTGCATCTGTGGCTGTATCCCAGTTCTGTATGCATAAATAAATCTTTAAAAAATAAAATTAAATTATTTTCATAATAATTGTCACCGACAACTGGGAGAAAACTGAAACATCTCAAGCTCTGAGTCCAATTCTCCTTTATTATTTATAAAAGAATAAAAAAGATATAAATAAGAAACACAGTTATGGGTCTGTCTATTCCAGGAATGGTTCTTCCTGGGTATACAAGTACCTAAATGGCCTTTAAAGAGATCGCAGTGGGTCCCAATGTTTGTAATAACTAAAACATCAGCACACAGAGCACCATACCAGTGGGAAAATTAGGCAAACTTCTACTCAAAAGAGGACTGTGAGCAAAAAAATTAACTCAGAAGTAAAACAACTGAACTACAAGTCAAAGCTGAAAAGTTTTGAAAGCTTTTTTATTAGTTTACTATATGTGAACACTTTCCACTGGGATCCCTGAAGGGAAAATCTAGTCCCATTTTTCTGGTGCAAACACACAGTTCTGGCTGGTGAGCTAAGATAGCCTGAAGCTTAGACATCTACCGGGGAGGCGGGAGCTCCTGCTTCTCTCTCCGACAACGTTCCTCCAAGACATGAGTCAAGCCTGCTCGTGGTCTGCACACTGGTGGTCAACAGCGTAGGGGAGGAAGCAATGTTTGCCCTCAGGTCTGTGTTACCCTCAAGTCTTCCGGTTCCCTGCAAACTCAACTCTTTCCTCCTCCGGCCGGAGGTCACAGACACAGATCTTGACTTTTAACTATTTTTCATTGTCTATTTTAAGTGTGTTCACCTATTAATTTTTCCTTTCAAATGGAAGAGAATTCATAGTTTTGAAGCCAAGGATTAGGTTTCGACGTCAGTTTTCTGTTTCTCATAATCACTTGATATCCAACTCTCGGTAAGATAAGCTAAGTAAGCTGCAAATGGTAATGGCATAATCAAGACAACTCATAGTAAATCCAAGACCTCGTTTTACCTACCACTTCCCAACGTCTTTCAAATGATGTAGTCAGAAGGCAGCGTAAGAAGATGAAAAGTAGCAAAAGACAGAAGGCCTAGCTGAACACAGCATTCTGCCACCAGAAGGATCATTTCCTCCAGGGGGTAATAATCCTCCGTTACCAGGTAACAGAGGAAAGTACTCACCAATACCCTGGAAAACAGGACTCAAGCCTTTGTCTTCCCTAAATACTAGAGCTCAACTGTTTGAATTTACTACCACCCCCATTTTACCTTTTCCGAGATCAAAAAAATGACCTCCCCCATATTTCTAAATGAGGTTCTAAATTCAAGACCTTTCTGGGGTTGAGTGAGGGCCATGTGGTATACACATTATAAGTTCTTTAAATCTTATCACAAAGAGGGAGGGGAAAGTCAGCACTTTCCTTTTTTTAATCACCGTGGACACCACCGTGACTGAGAAAAGGAGCGTAGACCCATGAAGTTTAGTTGATTATTTATTTAACGGTTGGCTCCAGCAGGAGCCACAGAGAACAACCTACCATTATGTCTTGCCTCGTTTTGAACGTGCTGATGTAGTGGCTGTAGTGGCTGTCATCCATCTGGCGCAGGATGGCGATCATGCACGCCACGAAACTCCCCTGCAACAGGAGCACACACTTGCAGGACTCCTCTGACCACCAGCCGAGCAAGCAAGATCCGAGCGCATGAACTTCAGCATTCACCACCCAATTACTTCAGCAGGGACCCTACACAAAGATCCCAAGGGCACACGTGCGCAGCAGCCCTGACTGAAAGGATGTCCTTTCCAGGCTGAGAGAAGGAGTGTGCAGGACTCACCCACCCCACCCAGGGCCGTGGTGTATGTAGTCCCGTAGGTTAAGGGACACAGGCTCGGCCACTTTGGCAGTGCATGGCGAATGCCCGTGCAGCGTGAGGGGCCCTGGGGTATTGGGTTCCTCTATGGCAGCTACATTGGGGAGGGCACTGCTGGCTGCTTGGGGTTGGGGAGGGCTGACAACAGGGCGTGGGTTATTGCCAGGCTGACTGCTGCTTCCACACCCAACCACCTGGGAGTCTGGAGACCTAGGGCAGGCAACCTCTCCTTGCTTGCTTCCTCACTGGAAATAAGGCGCTAGCAGAGCTGTCTCACAGGGCTGGTGGCAGGCTTCAATGGCATTTGAGTGTAAAGTGCTTCAACAGTTTTTGGTGTGCATATACACACAGACACAAACACAGACGGCAGACACACACACACACACACACTCCACACACAGGCACACACACCAGCTAATCTCTGCTACAGCTGGGAGTGTTACCACACTGTTATCATCCTACTGAGGGCAGATGCAGGCAGAGCAGCGCACACTGAGCACCAGACTCAATTACTTGGGAAAAGAGAGGAATTGCTGCATGTAGCCCCCAAGCGCCTCATTTTCTGTTCACACAGGCAGGCAGTTTACTTAGCTAAAATATTTAAATTTAAATATTTAAACAAATGGTTGAAAGAGTCCAGAGGGCACACAGGTCCCAGCAGATCTCTGCCTTAATGTGCAGCAGGTCTCGCTTAACCTTTACTGGGAGCAGACTCCCCAAGAACGAGCCTTATGCTCGGTACCCACAGAAGCCTCAGTAACCCCCTCCTTAGCCTCCTGACCACATGATTTTCCCTCCACATTTTCTGATTCCCTGACCGCATCATTTCCACTCAACAGAGTATCAGTGTTAGAATCAAAATCAACCAGATTCGGGAGGCCTGTCACCTCCTAGACACCCCCGCCTGTGCCCATATTTCCTGAGGGAGCTGTACTGCACAGCACAAAGCATCGGGGGCCCAGGGATCATTGGTCTCTAGTACCAAAAGTCTCCCCCCAGACTAGCAGGATACCGAGAAGCAGCTGGGGCCGTGGGGTCTCTTGAAGAGCTACTCACAATGTGGGGGGACTCCCGGCTCATTCCAATCACGGTCCGGTTGATCCTTCTCAGAAGCCGTTCCATCACCTGCTGCACGTGCTTTGCTGTGGGACCCTGCGGGAGGCACAGAAGCATCACCACTTCTAAGCAGTGTCACCTGGACAGAAGAGTTTCCCTTACGTCTCATTCTAGCTCTGCTTGACAAAGCCGTCTCTTGCCCACAAGGGGAAAACGATTTCACAGAATATTGCATGTAAGGAGTCAGTTGAAAATAATCAGTTACAACATTTAAAAGATGAGCGTAGGGAGGCAAGGGAAGAAGGCTCCCTAGTCAGAATGCCCTACTCTCTCTGAGCGCATGGCAGCCGCTGACTCAACAGACACTCTTGGAGGGATTCCCACGAGCATGAGTTACTCAGTCCTGACACTAGGCAGGTCAGGTTGCCCATGACAATTAGGCCCATGTGTACAAAGAGAAAAGCAAAAATACAAAGTTCTCAGCACCTTCTGCATAGACAGAAAAAATGCAAGAAATTCAAGTGAAGGAGACTGTTACAGATGGAATGGTTACGTTCAAATCCTAAGTGTGAATGTTCTGACCTCTAATAAGATGGATGCTTTTGGAGTTGGGACCTTTGGGAGTCCAGTAGGTCATGAAGGTGGGCACTGGTCAGATGGGATTAGTCCTTCTAGAAGGGACACCAAGAGGTTGGCCCTCTCTCTCCACACGCAGAGGAAAGTCTATCAGCAGCAGGGCCTCTCCTGGACCTAGATCTACAGAGCAGGCTCAAACAAGACAAGCCTGTGGAATCACCTCTAGAGCAGGTGCAGCCTGCTGCAGGGCCCAGATTCTAAGCGGCTGGGTCAAGCCTGAGAGCATGGCCAGGAGTCACTCTTTTCACAAGCAAAGGGACTAGTGTGTGTGTGCCAACGTGTGTGTGTGGAGACATCTGTGTCAGTAACAAGTTGACTCACCACGTCCTTCCTGTCTAGCACTTCCAGGATGTTGCTCAGGAGCTGCGAGCTGGCCTCATGGTCAGGCTTGCTGGAGCGGTCATCTAGCTGGCCGCTGAGCTGGTCTATCAGCAGTGGCAGCAGAGTATCCCTGCACTCTGAGAGAGAACGCACGGGCTGCTCAGCAGGAGCAACAGAGCCTCCTGGCCCGCCTGGCTCCCCCCACAGCTCTCTCTGAGTCTGTCAGTGCCTGGAGCTCTGGGCTCAGTGCTGGGAAGCACAGCACCCCTCCCCCAGGGTGAGAGGTGATCTCAGGCTATCGTACTTCCGCCCTTTAATTGGATTGCAGGAACTATAAAAATGATCCGATCACAAGTACATGTACAAAATGTTTAATATATTTAACAGTTCCTTAAGCTTTTAAAAAGTTGCCACCTATATATTTGAAAGCTAAGTCAGATGAAATGAGATATAGGAAGTAAGTGATTTGTTAAAAACCTTTTTTGGAAAAGACACCTGCACCCCTGTGTTTATTACTGCTTTATTTACAATTGGAAAGACATGGAAACAGCCCAAATGCCCAAAAGTAGATGACTGGATTAAACAGATGTGGTACATGTACACAATGGAATATTAAAGGAATATTACTCAGCAACCAAAAAAAGGAAACACATGTCTTTTGCAGCAACATGGATGGAGCTGGAAAAGATCATGCTTAGTGAAATAAGCCAGAAAGAAAAGGAAAAATACTGGATGGTTTCACTCATAGCAGGAGTATAAAGGACCAGGGGAGAAAATAATAATAATAGTGAACAACTATATACCAGAGACATTTTACGGGGGTGGAATGGGAATGGGATCAAAAACGGTGGGGGGAGGGAAGTGCACTGGACTATGGTGATGGCACACGGGTGATTTGGTGATGGGAAGCCCACGGGGAATACAACTGAGATGCAAAAATGCACAAAGTGATGTAAAAATAAACTATTATGTTAATAAAATTAAAAAAAATTAAAATGTATTAAAAAAAAAACCTCTTTTGGAAATTTCCCACCTAATGGAGAATGTTTACTAAAAATTCCTATAAATCTACAAGATTCATTTAAATATGTTCCACAGAAAGACACCGTGTGTCCGTGCAGGCACACGGACGTCATGAAGTGAAGCAGGGTGGTAGCTTTCACTGTGTTTTCCTTCTGAATCTTTACTATTATGAAGCATTACTTTGATAACAGTCTGGACACTAAGAGAATGACTGTCAACAGTGTGATCTCTTCCTCTGATGAGAACTCTTTGCGCATGCTCAAGGGCTCAACCTTCATGGTGTCATTTATCCCTTCAACATCCTCAGGGGTAGATTATCCCGGTATATTGAGAGGTTTTGGAATATGATGATTTCTACTGAGGAACACTCACTATCATTTTACGCTACTTCAACACAGTTGAAAGTGTTCAGCACAAATGCATGGGGTCAGAAAATATCAGAATCCAAAGAGGCCACTGACTGAGTCAAATCTTTGCTTCCCTAGAAAGGAAGCGCGCATGAGAGGTCACTCATTTGTCCACTGTTCCAACACTACTTTGGGGCAAAGCCCAGAGGGTCTGCCACCACCCACCCACTCAGCCTGCCCTATTTCAGAGGAGCCCTCACGCCCTCCATGAAATGCAAACGTCAGGACACCCCCTGACCTGTGGATTCCCCAGAGGCTCCCTGGGTTGCCAGGCCAGTGAGGTATCGACCTTCTCACCCTTTATCAACTTTGGGGAAGGGGCATGGTGATTTAAGACTTAACAGCTCCATGCTACACTCTAGTTCCAAAGTGAAAGTTACTGAATCAATGCTAGAAGCTTCCTCCCCACCCTGCTACCTGCTCGGCACAGCAGCAGTATGCTGCCATGGCTCCCTCCCCAAATGCTCTGATTTATAATGTTTGCCAATCTCCTTGATGTAAAAATACTTTCATCGTGATTGATTTCCGGCTATGGAGGTGACCTAACTAAGCCTGGAGTTGAGGGAGTCTCTGGGTCAGCACACTGGCATCTCGCTCCCCTCGGCCCCTGCTACAGGCACCAGTAAGCACAGATGAAGAAGATACCATTGCCAAAAGGACCCACTTTCCTGCTTGTCTGTTACTTTCTCGAGTTCCTAGTTTGAAGACCAAGATGTCCAATCAGTGAAACACGGTTGTCCCAATAAAAGGTTAAAAAAAAATGTGACTTTGCTCTTTTAGAAACTACTAGAAATAATGATTTCAACTTCTCTTTAAAACCGGTTTCCCAGGAGGTCCATAAGTACCAACAAAACACTGGCAAGGACATTATTGACATTTTTTATTTTTACAGCCAAGTGCTGGCTGAAGAAGTAGCAAGACTGGAATCTCAGTAAGCAGCAGTTTCGGTGGAGACTTACCTGCCTGCCGAAAAAGGTTGCTCTCTACTATCTTGGTCATGCAGTTGAGTTTCTGGCGAACTAACTGGTTGTCAGGAATGCTCTGAATGAACTTGCAGAAGAGCTCACTGCAAAAGGAAGGCCAGCAGTGTTTTCCTACTGTGAAGGAAATCATTATACAACTCCCACCACTCTGAGCTTTGGCCATGGAGGGTTTTACCTGGAATTCTCTCCCAAATGACCCGAGAGTCCAGAGACTGCTCACTAGAGGGCTTACCCATACTGCTGCTTTGCAAACCAGCCTC